TCTCTCTCCTTTTGATGCTTTGTCTCAGTGGAAGCTGGGTGTCTGGGCTGGGCTTGGCAGCTGTCACTGGCCCCTTAATGCCCTGATCACTCTTCTCTGTGTTTCTTGCTCCTGCAGGTTGTATCATTGCCAAGTCACATCCACATGTGCTGGGGGATGTAGCCCAGTGGATGTGGTGGGGGATGTAGCTCAGTGGTAAAGCGCCTGCTTCGCATGTAGGAGGTCCTGGGTTCAATCTCCAGCTGCTTTTCAGAAGGCAATATCTTACAGTTATGGTGGCCAAAATCTGGAACCACCTTCCCAGGGAAGTGGTCCTCGCCCCTACCTTGGGCATATTCAAGAGGAGGATGGATGATCACCTGTCTGGGGTCTTGTGAACCCAGCATTCATTCCTGCCTGTGGCAAGGGGTCAGGCTAGATGATCTGTTCAGGTCCCTCCTGACCCTAGCTACTATGAAACATGCTATGTGGGGAAACACAGTCACCTAATGTCTGCTGTTCTGTCTTCCTGATCTCTATAAGCGGTGGTGTCAGAGCTTTTTCCCACTAAGATTATCTTAGACCCCCTTCCTGGTTTCAGAGGAGGGAGTGGGGATTTAGGGCCTGAAGTTCCTTGTATGTTAAAGGTAGAAATTCCTTTTGAAAGAACCAGTAGAGACTCCCTCTGGAGAAAGGGCTCATAGCTTGGAAAGAAGGGACAGTATGCCATCCTCTGTGCCTGTAAGGAGTGCAAGTGCCCTTCACCTTCTCCCATGTTAGGTGCCAGGACTGAACACAAGGTGACAGGAGGCAGCAGTCAGGCTTCCAGGTGGTGTGTGAGGAACCAACAGTGCCACTCTCCATGTAGAACAGCCCCAGAGCTGTGGTTCAGGCCTTCCCGACAAACTCACATCGTCTAGACTCTAGGCACTCTCAGGGTCTCTTCTCTCCCAAACACTAATGCCTCACATGCCTTGCAGTCATTTTTGCTTTATCTGTGTCTCCATTTCATTGTTCATCTCCAGTGAAAAGTGGGTCATTTATAGGGTGACCCCCTTTTTAAAATGGAAAGGCAGGACCCATGCATGCCTCTTCATGACCCACCCCCCTGCAGCTGGCAGCATGGCCAGAGCTGAACAGAGCGCAAGTAGATGTAGGCTTCCCACTATGGACTAGGGGCTCTCTGCCCACCCAGGAGTAGTGTGGGGTACAACCCCATGCCAACGCTGCCAACACTACTGCCGGGCAGGCAGGGTGTGTGACTGGTATGGGGCTCCCAAGGGAAAGGCAGAAGGGCAGGGAGCCCCTAGCCCACAGTGGGCATCCTCCCCACTCTGCGCACACATCTGGGGAGGGGGGTATGTGCCCACCCCAGTCCTGGGAACCATGCACTGCCCTGGATGGGAAGCACCCCCAGCTCCCAATCCATTCCTCACCACGGGGATCTTGATCTGCACCTGCCCAATTAGGTGGTCACTCTAGTCATTTGCTTCCTGTGCTGGGCCAGGCAGCTGCCTCCCCAGGCCACAGAGCTGGGAGTGCATGGGCTGTGAAGAGGCAGAGCCAGAAGAGGCCTGGGGTCTGCAGAGAATAGCAAAGCTGGTGCTGGGGCATGGGGGAGCAAATCCCCCAGCTCCTGTATGGATCCTGCCTGATGCTAGAGAGAAGGCTCCTCTTGCACCAGGAGCAGCTCTGATCTGCCTGCACCCTTCCATGGCTGGGCAGAGCTGGACCCACCTGATTGATGGAGACTGAGTTTGAGGGACTTCAGGAGCAGCCTCCTTCCAGTGCTGCCTTCTGATTTGGCAGGGGGAAGGTTCAGGGGCAGGAGCTGCTTGCTCAGGAGCAGAGATTTTGTGGCTGGGCCCTTCTTAATCCTGATTGGCCACAGGTGCAGCATAGGCATTGGGAAGCGCTGGTGAATCACAGGACAGGGCAGGTGGTGGGACATCTGTCCCAGTGTCCATGCTCATTGGCCAGGGAGAGTGCTGGTGGGTAGGACCGCCTGTCAGAGCAGATGTGTGGAGCCCCTTTCACACATTGATATCTCTCCTCCATGTTTTTTCCTCTCCTGCAGGTTGCAGGAA